CATTTATGTCCATAGTACTTCATAAAAGCCACTCAGAGACAGCTAAATGCCTCACAAATGGAATGTGACATACAGAAGCAGGTCACTTTTCAGAACTGTATGCTCTCAGCAGTTGTTCTAACGAGAATGGGATAATATAGCTAATTATTATTGCATATGATTTTATTTGTCCCTTGCTTTGTCAACTTTGCCTCGTCTTAGCCACCTTACTCTTAAATTTCCTTCCTGACATCAAGCTTCTGTATTTGACTCCTCTTCGAACTGTTGCCATTCCAGTTATCAGGTACCTTAGCTACTCTCCATCACATCACACACCTTAATCACACCACAGCCCATTTTTTAATTGTTCTCCTGCCCACATCATTCCTTTGTTGACATATTTCCAACTTCCTTTTCACACACCTCTGAGTGGAACAACTCCCATGATATTTGAGTAAATTTTTGTCTCCTGAATTAGGTGCAGAGAAGATATACCAATGGTGCCATCTTACATGCAAGATTCTAATTTGAGTTTTCAAGTCAGCTTGTGTTCTAATATTAACAGTCTGAAGTCAAACTCTGTCAGACCATGCATCAGGACCCTTAATGGCTGTCCAGGGCCTCCATGAACCCCCCCTTTGCCTGTGGCCCTGGAGCTCCATTTAAGATCAGCTCTGGGTCTTCAGCCCTTGCCTGAGTGACATTATTAAGTGTACCCACCCCCAGCCCTGGCTTTGGCTCCTGTCTCTGAGCCTGGCTAGACCCCTCACCCAAGCTGCAGTATGACTCCAGTCCTGTTCAGACCCTGTTGCCTGGATGGAGTTCAGACAAGTTGCAGCTGGTCTTCAATCCTGTCTCTGGTTCCTTTTCCTCCTCACTGGACTCTCGGGATGGACTCTGGACCTTGCTCATGACTTCGCTGTGTCTGGGACTGTTGATGGACTCTATTACCAGAATCTAGCTCTCCTCATGTATAGATGCAGTGGGACTGTGTCCTGGTCAGTGAGAGCACTGTCCTTGCTAGGACCACCCTCAGCTTCTAGGTTGCCTTACCTTCAGGAACAGCCAGCCCTTGCTGACCCCTGACACTTTGCTAGTCATTAATTCCTATCAAATTCAATTTTTTTCCAGCACATGCAATATATTTGCACTTTTTTTTCAGCCTCATTACTTTGCAACCAAGGAAAGCCCAGGACTTAATTTTTATGTAGTCTCTCTATAATGACCAATCTTAAATCTCGTATCTTTTTAAAAAGATACTAACCACAGAGGGGTTTTTTTGCGGGTACCAGTGTGATTAATTAGCTTCTGCAATACACATCTGTCTTTAGCTTAAAACAAATGGTTGGCTGCAATGTAAACAACTTATGCAAGTGTGTCCCACAGAAGTTTTAATAAAATTATCACATCAAAACCTTAACTGCTATTCTGTGTGCAAGTAACAATTACATGGCACTAGTTTATGAAAAAAAAAATCCTTTCTTCTAGAGAGTACCATACCAGCATCTGCATTCTTTAAAATGATGAAGGATAAATTATTGTGCATTACAAAAGTAATATAATGAAACTGCCAAGCTACTTAAATGAAGATCTACTTTAAAAAAAAGCTTGAATGCCCCATTGTTCCACAGTTATCTTACTTAATTTTCTTTCCATTTACTATTATTTATTATTATTTATGTAATCACACCTTCCAAGCATTTTTGGAGAACTCACCTTTGAGAATAAAAATAATCTCACCAGCTACCCTATTTGTGTGTTCTCTTGTACTCTTACTTATACACTGACCCCCTCCTCCTCCACTGGTACTATTCTTCCCTTTTGCTAGTCTCTTTTCATACTCTTACTATCTGAGCAGCTATTAGCTCTCTGAAAGGAGACTGCTAGACTTGCTATTGCTCACTCTTTTCTAAAGTGGATTAAACCCTTAAGGCAAAACTAATGCTTCAAATGCAAACCATATTCTTGAATTCCAGTTCAGACAACAACATCCAGATTATTTGTCTTTCTCTGGTAGGCACAATCAACACTGACATATGACAAAACATCACTGCTGCAGAATTTCTCTTCAGATAACCTACGCAGCACATACAAATACTCCTTGGATACACAACAGAACAGTCAAAGCTACTGCATGAAGAGCTCTGTGTTTGTTTCCTTCATTTAAAATATAGTGGTTCTACTGCAAGTAGTAAGCCTCTTGTTTATTCTTGGGTCTTTAAATAGCCACAGAGTTCATCTCTGGTTTTATAATGAAAGATGGTACTTCTGAATATTACTGACATCAGATGCAATATCGATAAAAATCTCTACTTAAAACTATATAGAAAAGATGAAAAATCAAATGGTTATCCTCTGCAACAAAATTTTGGTTTGCACTTTAATACAAATGGCATCACTAACATTTAGTAGAACATTACCTCATTAGACTGATAGCAAACAACAACGTCAGAAGTATTTACATATAAAATATACATTCATAAAAGACAGGTCTTCAAATATTTTATATAAAATACATCAAAACTCATTTTTAAATAATAATGAATAGAAGCTGTTTATGAAATCTTCCATGTTAACACTCCAAGAATAAGCAACTTCAAGAATTGTTTGCCCACACACATTCTGGAGCTGCCTACAGTCTAGTTGAGTCAAAACTTAATTTACTTCCTCAACATCAGTCACAGGTCAAGGGAAGATCCAAACAGACAGAAATTACTGCAGCTAGAAAGTGGCTTGTTAATAAAATGGCACCCAAACATACCATTATACTGCCAGGAGGGAACAACTGCACTTTGAAACTCAGATACAAATATGCCATTCATTTCTTAGGAAATATGGAAATATGCATTATAAAGAAGGTAATGTTAACTGTTCATCTTGCCTCCTGATAGTTCAAAAATATCTTTTATTAGAAACAATCAAGGATGTGATCTTAAGACAGCCTGGAGGTATACTTTGTAACACACACAGAATCAAATCCTTATGAAATAATTTAGAAAGTTTATCAAAATCCACTGTATTGTCATAAAAAGCAAAACATGCACATGGATAAAACATATAAAACAATAAGCTCATAAGGATTATACAAATTTACTGAAACTACTAGTATAAAAGAAGATTTTTTAAATTTGGAGTTTTTTTAAACTATTTGTGAGTAGCTTCAAGCTTCCCTGCTAACTGTATGAGCCTCTCAGCACTTCAGTGACAGACAATTACATCTACAACAGACAGTTTGTCCAACAGCAGAAAATTCAATAGCTGTCTGGTTATGTGGGATATCTTCAATTTCTAGGTTTTCTCAAAATACTAAAAATCTCATTTCAAGCCCTATGGCAACAAAAAAAAAAATGCAATCAGACATGATTCACTCTCAGAGAACCCAACATGCACAAGTTTAAGAACAGGTATTTTACTGCATCATGGAGAATCACATAAAACATAATAACTACGAACAAGACTGTGTGTTAGTCCCAGACAGAATTAAATAGTGACACCGCCTTTGTATCTCTGGAAATTTACCTTGTGCCTACGCTTAAAGTTCACAAATTCCTTTAAAAAAAATAAAAATGACAGAAACAGTCACAAGGTTGGCGATAATGAGAAATTACTACCATACTGAGTGGATTATTTGTCCACAGAATAAGTTATACAAATATGTCAGCAAAAGCAACATTCAAAATTGAGAATGCAGATAAAAGTTAAAAATATCAACTGTCTTAACTGTAATTAGTGTTTCCATCCTCAGTATTCATCAATATGTGCATAAGAAAAGGCGAGATTTCCCACAGTGCCACAGGGAAGACCTATTACATTGGTGTAATACACTGAGAGCTATATGTTTGTTTAATAATTCCTACTGTTGATTTAATTTGCCTTTATTTCCTCCCAAAAAAGAAGTATCAGATACTGATTTTGCTCGTGTCTAGTTGCGAGTGAAAGACCAAAGCAGCACGTTATTGAGGTAGATGGTATCAATTAAATTCTCAAGTTACTTTGGGTTTTGGAACTTCTTCTGAATCTCACTGGCGCATTTTGATAGTGCCTGTTTTTGTGAAGAACAGCTTTGAAAGTGACAGTTCCTATCAGTCAGGAACACAACCCAACCCAACTGTCTTCTGGGCTTTTCCAATCATATATAAAAATTACATTAATTTGAGATGTATAATGGAGTAACAACGTTAATTGAGTCATAATACTCAAACCTACATTAAGGCACCACCAAGGTCATTTTTGTAACCCCAAAAGTAGTATTCTTCCCATATGAGTTAAACCTACAGAACACTGTATATTAAACCACCACCACTAAAGCAAATTCTATTATTTCGTTAGCATAGATTTGAAATTCTATTGACAGCTGGCATTCGAATTACCCTTCTCCATGTATCCATATGGCATTTCATAATCTTTCTATCAATTCCTTCATTTATTTGACAAAAAGACGTGCTTGAAGTCATTGTAACAAGTTCTACATATACATTTCTCTCAAACTTTAAGATACCAAATATTTTATATTAAGAAATACCAACATGAAAGCCTCTTCCATAAAAAACGTTTAGGGGTTTGTTTTGAAAACAAAGTGTCATTTTCAAGCCCAGTGTCAGAACCTAGTTTAAATTGTTTAATCCCTGAAGAAGAGGATTATGTCCTTCTCTTTTAAGATACTAGCATCAATAAACTTCACTGCTACCCTCCAAGGTTTTTTTTGTTTGGTGTTTTTTTTGTTGTTGCTTGGGGGAGGGCGGGGGGGTGGGTTTGGTTTTTATTTGTATCTCTGCTCCTCTTCAAATATTCAAAGTAGAGAGAAGATTATTTGGTTCTCAAATCAGCAGATGTATGGAAAAAGTTATTCTAGCATGTAATAATGCTGTTTCTAAAGATATGCCAAGCTTTAGACAAGTGACCTGCAGTTCTGAGCCCACAATGACTAGTTGCCACAGAGCTGGTAAGAAGAGCTTTCAGCTGTTCTATTGCAGAAGCACGCACATTGCTTATTTACTAGTTACCTTTCAATACAAACATACATTAAATATCTGTCTGCTTGTCTCTATTAAACCTTCTCTTGCTGAAAAGGCTCACTCCTCCTCCTCTGGGTTTCTAATTCCAAAAGTGAAGGAACCGAATGTAATTAAAGTAAGTCACTCCAAGTTATATGAACAGCGATTTAAAGAAGCCTCATCAGGAACATCCTGCTGTCGTAACGCCTGCTCTACTTACTCCTACATAATTACATTAGAAAAGTAGCCATCTCCAGAACACCACATTTCTCCCTTGCCCCCATTCTCAAATTTTGGCTCTCCCAACATCTTTTCCCCTTCTGCCTCTTAGTTTCATGTCTGTCCACCCCTCCTCTTCCTCACTTAGAGCAATCCTGAAACTTTAAGAAACATTATGGGAATCCCATACAACTTTCAGAACAAGAATGGTCTTGATCTTAGCTCACTAGGAGGCAAGTTGTGCATTAGAAGGCAGCTAAACTACATGATACATGGTATTTTCCACTTTTTCACTTCTCTAATCTGTGACAGAATTCTTTACTTTGACAGCAACATCCTATTGCTCCAATGTTTCATTACATCTAACATCTTTTGTTCCTCCATGGGAGCTTTCCAAAGCTTCCTCTTTTCATTTCCTACACTCTACTTCCCATAATGCCAAATAGAGAAGCCAAAAGCAGGAAAACTAAAACACCAGTCTGGTTCACCAGAGCCACCCTGACCTCGTACTAAAGGTGCACATTCATAAACAACACACCAGTCATTAATAAGACAGTATACTGTTGGCCCATCAACTCTTACAGGACAGAAGCAAGCAGTGAAGGATTAGCAACTTTGAGATCCTACGTAAAGTACTGCAAAAGGAGTCAAGTAATCCTGCCTGCCAGAAATCTCCTCCTCTCTTCCTCAAATCATGCAAAACTGATGGGGTAAGAAGGCCTTCCTTCACAAGAGCCAGACACAGGATCATCATCAAAGGACATGCAACTATAAAAATTAACCACCGATGACGCTTTCAGTCACAGTGAATATGCAAGATTTGGCTGCTAGACCCTCTCTTATCCACACAATCATTACTTGAACAGTGTGGACAGAGTCAAAGGGAATGGGTTTTAAATGTATTAAATGCTTAGCTATATGAAGTATCTACTTCTTCCAAATTACTGTGTCAGGCTGTCTGGAAGATCAGATGAACCCTCACTGTAGCCTGGAGTTTTTTAAACTTATGTTATTGAAGTGTACAAAGGGCAGTGTTTTTCATCTTTTTCTCCCCATGCTATGTCTATTTGTCTTTCTACACCTTTCATCTTGAGTCTGCTCCAAACCTCCATGTCACCACAATCTAATGACCAAAAAAACTCCCTGGAGTTTTATTCTGCATTTCAGTTTACAGTTGTACTACTATGTTATAAGATAGTCTGATTCACCATACTTTCTCTGATATGCATTAAAAATAAAATAGATATTCAAGATAAAATTGTATAATTCAAGTTAGATGTGTATTTTAGAAGGTCTTTGTCTTCTGTGAATAACCAAAATGAAACTATGTATAAGCACCACTTACACAGCAAGGACAAAACCTCAGAAAACTTTTCCCTCTGGTCATATCTTGAAATTTTATTCCAGGTACTGTTTGCAGATGCAGTTAGCCACTGGAATTAATTTTCATGAAGTTAAACGCTGCAGAACTATTTTTTTTTTTTATTAATGAAAACCAAAGCTTCTGATGTCTGAACCTGGTAACACCACACATAACATTATCCCGCACAGAGTAAGTAGCAGACATGCATTACAGTTGGATAAAATAATAAGAAATACAACGACTGCAACATGCTACTTATTCCAAACTTGACAAAAATGTCACACTGGCTAGCACTAGCACTGGCTAAACAGCGCTTCTATTAACGAGATGCAGTCAGAGCTTTGTGCATCTTTGGGTAGCTTGCTGGTCTTCCCAGATCCGGAAGTCTACTAAGCCCTATTTTAACATATGGCTTAGTATGAACATGCAACAAAAAAGCCAACACTATTTTGAAGAAAAAGGCCAAACCAAACCAAACCAAACTGTAACACAAATGCAGGGACTGTGTGGTCAGGTATTACACCTGCACATACAAAATACTCTGCTTCTGCAAGATGAATTAGCATCTTTGTATCCTGAATGCAACACATTGTGAAATAAAGGGACTCTCCGAAAACCTGTCATTCCAAGTGGTTTTGGAACAAATAGCTGATTCCCAGTTCAGCACAAATTTGTTTGAAATTTTCTTTTCCCAGACCTACCTACCCATATTCTCTAATGCAAGAAGACATTGCAATCTTTACCAAGACAGACATTTAAGGGTCCCTCCTCTGGTTTCCTCCAATTCACATGAAACTTAAAGAAATGTAACTGTATTATTTAAATTATACCCCTTAATCAAATTTTGGCTGCAGATAACTAAGAGGTAAAATTTGAAGTTATTAGGTAAGGCAGCAAA